GTAACCCTTTCACTAATCTTCGCCAAATTCGAAACAACCTCCCTTTAATGATACCTTATATATAAGATTACGTGTATGATTTGTACACTTTTTAGGCAAAAATTGGTAACCCCTTCACCGATCATTGCCAAATTCAACACCAATCTATCTTTAATGATACTCTATCCATAAAAAAAGTGTGAAAGTAGCAACTTGCACATTGCTTTCTTATAGTTTTTAAGTGTGCAAGTAGAAACTTGCACATTGCTTCCTCATAGTTTTTTAGTGTGCAAGTAGAAACTTGCACATTGTTTCCTCATAGTTTTTAAATGTGCAAGTAGAAACTTGTACATTGCTTCCTTATAGTTTTTAAATGTGCAAGTAGAAACCTGCATTGCTTCCTCTTTGAGGAAGCCAAATTAATAAATATCTACTAATAATTATGCATACAAAAACAGGCTTCCTCATAAAGGAAGCAATATGCAGGTTTCTACTTGCACACTTAAAAACTATAAGGAAGCAATGTGCAAGTTTCTACTTGCTCACTTAAAAACTGTGAGGAAGCAATGTACAAGTTTCTACTTGCACATTTTTTATTTACGTTTGCCGAATGTCTGTTCTTTAAAAGGAATTCTAAGCACACTAAAAGTTTCTTGTGCAATAATACCGGTACTGTATAGTTTAATATCTTTTCCCGGATTGTGAATCGCATGTATTTTTGAGCTGCCTTCTTTTCTTCGATTGAAAATTTGATATGAACCTCACCAATCGTGTTTTCATCGATTTTTTGGTATAATTTTGGAAATCTTTAATTAATATCCTCTCGTTTGATTTCGTCTGCCTGACGTCGGTTGAACAGCTGAACAGAAATGAGAGCACTCGCAGCTAAATAATTCCTTCGAAAAATGTTCGTTCAAAGCTTCATAATTTTTCCTTAATTTGTCTTTAAGGAACTAAATTATTTCTACTTTTAATTCGTAATTTAATATTTATTCGGTAAATGTCTAGATTAAGAGTAACCTCACTGATTTTATCTTTTATCGGCATAGAATTTAATGAAGTGGCGTAGAAATGGGAAAGAAAAATAATTTAAACTTTATTTTATTTAAAAAATTTATTTAACCATTTTTTTCATGTAAGAAATGATTTTTTTTAAATAAAATATAATTTTTAGTTAGAACTGCTTCCGGCGGGGATTTGAGGTTACCAGATTTTTTTTTTCCTCCCATTCTTTATTATATAATCGACGTAGATTAAAGATATCTACATCGCCGCTCAACTCCCATATTTCATTATTTCGCTCCTGGTCAATTGTTCTAAAATAACGGACCCACCGCTGGTGTTCTAAGTTGAGAAACCCGCAGATTCTTATATCGCTGCGATATATATAAGACTGAAAACAGATTATATATAAAAAATTTAAAAAACTGTTAAATATACGAAAATATCATTTATACGTACTTAACCGCGAAGAATCCGAACTCTCACCATATTCGCTATCCACACCTCACGTACGGGTTCGTTGTCCAGACATGTCCACTGTAAAATTAAAAAATTATGGTTAATTTAAAAAATATTTTCAGTTTACAATTATATGTATCTTATGTACTCTTCTGGCGGGATATAAAATTTCAATATATTTGTCAATGTAACAACTTCTTTCCATTATTCGTCTTGTACTGTCTTATCCCTTATAGGCCAGTAAAATTAGCTCGAAAAACACCGAATATCTACAAAACGGATTGACAAGCCAATTTTTTGAAGGTGAGGGTCAGGAGATGCCCAAATTCACAAAGTTCCAACAAAATTTCTCTGTGCATCGGCGACCATCCTGAAAATAGAGGTAAGTTTGGATATTTCGGCTCCTATTGGTCGGATTTTTTTTTATTTTTTTGTTTTGTAGGGAAAAATATTTGCTACAACTTTTGTTTGAACAATTTTTTAATTGTTGGCTGTCAAGGAAAAAAAGTTTCGACAAAAAAAGTGCCGTCAATTTGAACATTTTTATTGAAAATTATATTGCCCCCTGTTGGTTTTATCAAAAAAATGTTTAAATAAAACTTGTAGAGGACTCAATTCTCTACAATTTTCGTATATGCGCTTTTGCGGTGACTCAACAAATACCAGAGATAGAGGGCGCCAAAAGTATTTGTCGGGGTGTCGGAGCTGCTGTTGCTGCTGCTGTTGCTGCTGGTGGACATGTCTTTTTCGGCGTTTTGCGATTTTGTCCCGGTGTTGGCTCGCGACGTCGTTTAATCGGTCGCCTTCGTATTCGACGCCGTTATGCTTGCGCGTTCGGTGTCAATTGCGCTTCTATAGGTGTTTGTTGATGAACGGGCGATGGCGCGCGTTCGCGCAGCAATGGTAAAATGCCCCGTTGTTTGTTTGATCGTATTACAGGTGTTTCAGAAGACGTCGACGACGACCTACACGATCCAGGCGACCTATTAGACGGCGATTCGTCGTTGTCTTCGTCGACTGTCTTACTACGCAACGATTGTCGGCGGCGGTCTGTGGTCGATAATCTTGGATAGCGATCAATTATTTTGCGTTTCTTTTTTCTGATTTTGCTTAATAGTAGGTAGAGTAAGCCGATTCCACCCCGGGGGCAACGAGGGGGGGTGAGGGAGGTATCGGATTTTGCGGGGGGGGGGGGGGGGGGGGGGG